AGTGGCTTCAAGTTGCACTATTTCTGGCAGTCTGTAAAGGCCCTTACTCTCTCTTACACACAGTCACACAGAAACATTAATTCTCTTGTCTGTATCCAAATACACACAACTGCATGTGTGAGTAGGTAGAAAAAGAGATAAAGAGTGTGGCTGAGTTTGTGTGTGTGAGAGAGAAGGAATATGCCTGTGAGACTGTGTGTGAATGAACGTATCTGAGAGAGAGCGAGTCAAAAAAAGAATATTACTAAATGTGTATGAGAGAGAATTAATGTGTTAGAGGTAGTCACACACATCAAGAGAGATACCAAGGGCGTGTGAGAAAATTAATGTGTGTGTGACTGTGAGAGGGAAAGAGTGTCACAGTGTGCATGTGTGAGAGAGAATTACCGGTAGAATGTGAGAGAGTTTAAGAGTGTGTGAATCAGTGTCTGTGAGGGAGAGAGAGCGTGACCATGAATTGAGAGTGTGTATTTAAACATTAACTGGGTAAGAAGATGTGAGGGAGAAAGCAAGCAAGAAAAAGCATGCAGATGAGTGTATGTATGTGTTTGTATGTCACAAAGAGAAAAAGGGAACCTGCATAGCACCTTTCGAAACTGAAAGAATTTGATTCAAAAACAGTTTGATTAGCTGAACGAATGAACTGTTTTTAATACAGCTGCTTAGAAAAGCTGCATCTAAATGGGGATTGCCTCCTTTATCAGAGCGATGTGTAAAAGCCGCTTCAAAAATGATGGCTATGTTTAAAGATGATATTTGCTGATAATGCATTTTTCTTTAGAACTTTTTTGCTCGTAACTTTGTTCAGGTTTAATTATCAGTTAATTGAATAAAATTCATACAATATAGTGACTGTTTTTTAAATTAGATGATTAGTCCATTTGTTTCTGGGTACGCCTTCTAACTAATCTTTTTCTCCATTTCAACATTATACGCCTAAAAATAAATTCCTAGTGTTGCAGAGACTAGCTATGCTATCCTGTGCACATTTCTATGAGAGTTTGTTGTTTTCCTTCAAACTGTTTCTGACTTACAGTAACCCTAAAGTGAACCTATCACAGGGTTTTCTTGGCAAGCTTCTTCAGAGGGAGTTTGCTATTGCCATCCTCTGAGGCTGAGAGACTGACTTGCCCAAGGTCACCCAGTGGCTTTTCATGGCCAAGTGAGGATTTGAACCCTGATCTCCAGAATCATAGTCCAGTGCTCAAACCACTACACCACATGCTCCTTACTCTGTGGAAATAAGCACAACTAAATATAGTAACTTGTGATTACATATGAATAGAACAGTGCTGAAAGTGATGTGAATTTAGACACAGCTTCTTAATTGGTATAGTTCTGAGGACAGAGTTTTAGAATTTGGCTTGGGTCCAAAGATGTCTGCAATTTGTGCTGACTTTTCCCTTCATTTGGATTACCATTCCATGTCCTGTACTATTTTTGATGGCCCTCCAATTTTTAAAATAAGCATTTGGTGAGTATGGCAGGCAGACGCCACAAGGGATTCCTTGGAGAGGTGAAGGCAACAGCCCATTCTGCAAACAAAACTGGATTCACAGTTCTTAGTATCCAAGTTTTTCTGTATGCCTATTTTTAGTACTGGGATGCACAGGACTGGTTAATTAGATAAGCAAGCATTTGTTGTTTCTAAGCAATTGTGGCTGTCTAGAAGATAGTGAAAAGCACTGTTTCACTGGCCTTACTGTTGACTAAGGCGTTACTTACATTACATCCTCCCTCATAAAAAAAAAATCCTGCTACCAGCAGCTCCTATTCTGTTGTTCATTAAGTCTAGTTACTTTTAATTCTAGTGGATGTTTTGCCCTAAAATGTACATTATTTGGAAAAAGAAGTGTGCTTTATATCATAAATATGTGGTTTTAATTAACATTTGGATAGTTTTATTTTGGCAAATTTTGAAAAGACATCTAGTTTCTTATTATGTGTAGCCAGACAGAACCTTTGATCACTCATATTTGCCAAATATTAACTCAGTTGCTTTAGGCTCAGGATGCAAATAATGTCATGGTAACAAGTGAGAAGAGTGGAAAGTAAGAAAATGGACTTTGCTGAAACTTTCATACCTGTGATGAATAATACTATCCTTTGTCCCCTGTTCTCTTTCATAATCAGATAAAAATAAGTTCTCATGTTCATAAATTTAAAACAGGTTGGTTCCCTTCCCCCAACCACATGGGGGTTGAATAGTGCCAAATACAAATAATGATATAATGGTTCAAAGTCCTTTGTTAAAATTAACCCTTTGTCAAGAATATTGAATATGTTTATGCAAAAAATGTCTAAGACTTCATTAAAAATTTGTATTATTCATAAGACCTTACTATTCTTTCAGATACCACATTTACTCTGTTGTAAAACTAAAGACAACTTTGCTTGGCACAGTATTCCTACATGCAGGGCAGTTCTTGTAGGAATTTAGCCTATTCTTCACAGGACATAATATCCACTCATTCCCCATGGCTAAATGTATACGGTATATACTGCAGGAAGCTATGAAATTACAAAATAATTGTCCCACTGAAGTGTTTTCAGTCCAGGGAATTTCATAATATGTGAAACACTTTTAACAGACAAGGAGATAAGGTACTGTTCTTGACTTGAAGATAGCTAAAAGAAGGAGTTCATGTATCTACATTTTTGTTGTTGTTGTTGTTAGCTGCCCTCGAGTCGGTTCCAGCTCATAGCGACTCTGTGAATGAGACATCTCCAAGAATCCCTATCTTCCACTGCCTTGCCCAGATCCTGCAAGCTCTTGCCCATAACCCCCCCCATCGAGTCTATCCATTTGGTTTGTGGTCTTCCTCTCTTTCTTCTAGCATCTACCTTTCCTAACATTATTGTTTTTTCTAGTGATCTGTGCCTCCTCATGATGTGGCCAAAGTATGATAGTCTCAACTTGATCATCTTAGCTTCCAAGGAGAGCCCAGGTCTGATCTGTTCAATAACCCATTTGTTTGTTTTCTTGTATGTCCATAGCATCCTAAATACCTTTGTCCAGCGCCCCATTTCAAATGAGTTGATTTTCTTTCTTTCTGCTTCCTTCACTGTCCAGCTCTCGCATCCGTACATGGTAATTGGGAATACAGTGGTCTGAACGATTCTGACTTTAGTGCTTAGTTGTATGTCTTTGCTCTTCAATATCTTTTCCAATTCTTTCATAGCTGCCCTTCCCATTCCCAGTCTTCTTCTTATTTCTTGATTGTAGTCTCTATTCTGGTCAATGTTTGATCCTAGATAGGGAAATTCTTTAAGTATTCAATTTCCTTGTTGTCTAGATTGAATTTGTGTATTTCTTCAGCATCAGACCGACCTTTGCACTTTCATCTTTGACCTTCCTTATTAAATGTTCCAATTCCTGAATGTCTTCTGTTAATATTATGTTGTTATCCACATATCTTAGGTTGTTCCCTCGTATCTTAACTCCTTTTTCTGTTCCTAATTCTTTTTTTCTTATGCTGTTTTCAGCATATCTCCCAGTTGGGAACCACTCTGTTTCCCCAAATTCTGTTCTGACAGAGAGGCCTCTTGTCCTTGGTACAGATTCCTCATCAAGACTATCAGATATAGTGGCACCCTTATGTCTTTAAGTGTATTCCATAGTTTTTTATGATCTATAGAATCAAATGCTTTGCTGTAGTGTAGTTATCTACATAACAGGGATTATTTCTACTTTTCAGTGTATGAATCCTATGAATACCCTAGGTATAAACACTCAAATAATATTTATAGCATACACAAAAGTGCTGAAGAAACACTAAATGTAGTACTAAGTACAGGATTTATTTTTCTGAAAGTCTCAATGTTTTAAACATGCTGACCCATATGATTATGAAAATGTGCTTGAAAATACGGTATGTAGACAGCAGCACCCACGTTATATGCAAAATATGAAAATATTCTTGCCACCGGTGCCTGTTTCTGTGGTAAACCCCTTTTAAAGCACACATTTATTGCTTGCACTGGAAGGAGAATCCCATTTTACTGTAGGAATCTGACAGTTTGAATTTCAGCAGCAAGTTTTCAGAGGCTTGGGTTTCATAAATGTGGCCTATGATCCATATGGAGCCACATGCTGCCATCTCAGCCTCAAAGCAAGATTCCCAGGAATTGTACAGCTCATTTTGATGCCAAATTTTGCTTTCATGGACTATGATTTAGCTTTTAAGGTACACACTGTCCATGGACCTTGTTTGAAACCCAGGCTGTAGATTCTCTTGCAGACCAGGGACTGAATTTCTCTTTCAGAGAAGCTCTGGTGGCTGCATTCTGCTGACGCTGAATCAAAAAGTACCAGCATATTTTAGCTTAAAAGTGTTACTGCTAGTAACTTTAGCCTGGTGAGATATATTTCCACTGTTCAGAACTGGAGGAAAAAGATACATACCTTGGAAATTAGCAAACAGTAGGCAGCCAGATTTTGCCCTCTGAGAAGCTAAGTGGAAGAAAGTTTGGTCCCAGATCTTGACTCTGTTTTAAAGTCCACCTCTGTTTTAAAGTAAAAATGCACTTGTACATGAGCCAGGATTTGCTCACTCTTTCTGTAAATCTCACATTGCTCATCAAACTTAATGAGGCCTGAGGATCTGAAGTAGTACCACAGAAGATGACTGGAACATGCATGAAAGTACTGTTAAGGTACGATGATTACATATTGCTAATAGATAATTCTCTTCTACCCATGCTAGAACTTTGGCCTAAATACCCTAAAGGCACTAGATCACTTTTGATGTGGAAGCTAAGCAGAGTTGGTGCTGGTTAGTACTTAGATGGGAGACCACCAACAAATGCCAGGGTCTGTAGGCTATACTTCAGAGGGAGGAACTGGCAAAACCACCTCTGAGTATCCCTTGCCTAAGAAAATCTTATAGAATTCATGAAGTCACTATAAGTCGACAGGTGACTTGAAAGCATATGCACACACACACACACGGAACTTTGGCCAAACTTTGAGTTAAAAGGAGTTTACGCATAGGTCAGATTTAGAATTTAACTACGAACTTCTCACTCTTTTGCAATAATACAAAACACAACTCATTTATGTGAACCAAGCTGGTGGTTTACAAGGCATATTCTTCTGCCCAACATTATTTTCTATCAATGGTATTCTATAATCTGTCTGATACAGACTAATCTGCAGGGGAACTTTTGGTGTGCAAGGGGGCCTACTCCAGTGAAGGGGGATTGGCCAATATGTGCTCCCTTTCTTTTTCTACAATTCAGTGATTCCATTATTATTTGCTTTTGTTAGGAATCTTTGGCTTATGCAAATAGAAAGCTGGAAACAATTCCAGGTGAAAAGGTCTTAAGAGACACTAAAGAAGAACGTGATCAGCAAAACCGCCTTAAAGAGATTGACCAGCAGCTGAAAATCTTAGAGGGGACTGTAAGTCATCCAAACTTTGCTATTTTATTTAAATTTATAATAATAGATTCCAAGAATAAGAAATCTCTCTATGTACAGATTAGAACTGAAAAGATTTGTTTAGAGGGTTTTTTGTCTGTTCCCCACCCCCATCTTACAGAATAGAAAAATTACAGCGTTGATTCTAAATTATTCTCTATGAAGACGGAATATCCTTTCTAAGTGTTTATATACATGTGGAGTTCTACGTAATGTAAATGTTGTTAATCTGAAATGAATGGAGGTATATCACCCTTTGTTATCTGTAGTCAACACGCAACTTTCCCACTTGGATAGACTGCCAATGTCTGGGTAGCCAAACTGCCCCCCCCCCACCCCACACACAAGATAGAGAATGATCAGAAGACTAGGGAAAAACATGAGGCTTTCAGAGTCTTGTCTCTAATCAGGAGACTGGCTGAAATATTGAGAAAGGCAGTATTGAACATTATGGCTTGATTATGCAGGGAGTAAAATCAGTGGATAGAGATGGAAGCTGTGCCTATATGGATGCTTTGACAAAATGTTCATGAGCCCTGGCTTCCCTCTGGAAATGCTCCTTCATATCCTATTGGACATCTAAAGAATGGAGGAAAATAACAATTATTCTGTTAGGAATGTTAATAAATGTTTGTTTGGAAGAATGTTTTCTAAGTGCTTATATGTGATAACCTTTAGAGCAAGGGTGGGCAACTACACAGGGGGAGAGGGCCACTTTCTAGCCTGCACTCTGGTGGGGTGTGCTAGTGCATGCACAGTATCTCTTCTTGTCTCCATTCTGGCCAATTTTTAACATTTTATTTGT